GGGGGGTTGGTGGCCGCCCCCCTGCCACCATTGCTGCCCGTGGCTGCCTGCTCTGCACTGCCCAGCCACCTCTCTGGTTTTCCTCCCTGCTAGCGGACAAGTGGGGTTCCGAGGAGGTGGCAGCTTGGCTGGAAGCGCTCGGTTTAGGGGAGTACAGAGACATTTTTGTCCGGCATGACATCCAGGGCTCTGAGTTGATCCTGCTGGAGAGGAGAGATCTGAAGGTACAACCACCCCCTCCACTGTGCGCCCCATGAGGGACTCCTGGTGAACAGTGTCCTCCATCCCTCCTCTCCCCACCCATCCCTCGGGGTGGGGCAAGGCACACACAGCCCCGGGGGCCTGAGCTTGCACCGCTTGCTGAGCTTGCACTAGAGGCTGGGAGTAGGGGAGGGGAGTGCCCTGGACCCTCGTCTTGCAAAGCTCTGTGCACCCGCACAAAGCAGGAACAACAGCACCATGTCCTCTCCTGCACCCAGGCACAGGGACATGCTTGCAAGAGGACAGAGAGCTCCTCACAAGGAACAAGATTTGGCAGGGCAAGCATGGGGAGCTGGGCTCTGCAGCCTTTTCCTGTACCTTCCCCCCCTCAGCAAGAGCCCAGGGCTGGCCCCTCTGAGCATGTCAGCTCCCTTCTTCTCCCCTTCCTGCAGGATCTGGGGATCAGCAAAGTGGGCCACATGAAGCGAATCCTCCAGGCCATTAAGGAGCTCAGCAGCCCGCCCTAGGGCAGCCCCTGCCTGGTGCTGCCCCTATGGACCAGGGGTTGGGCAGGGGGATCCCTGCCCCTGACCCATGTGTGTGGAGCCCCCTGCTTGCCTTGCTTTGTCTGTTTGTCCCTCTATGTCCCTGGAGCTGCTGCTTCTCCCCGAGTCTGTGGGGCTGGAAACACTAAGATGGAGGTCTAGCCCCACAGGCACTGCAGTGTGACCCCCATCCAGCCCCCAGCAGGGTCACTACAGAAGCTTGGGCTGCCACATGTAAGCCCAGGCTGGGGCCAAAGCAAAGATCCCCCTTCCCCACGTTGGTATTTAAGCTGTGTAAATAGTTGGAGAAAAGATACTCCTTGCTGCTGCTCGTGTGGTGTCATGACTTAGGGGAGGGTGAAGGGGACCTGGCCCCTTCCAGCATTCACCCCTCAGCTTCCTGCCCTCACCCCTTCTTGCTCCTCATCATGCAAACCCCCCTGGTCTCAACCTTCTGCCCCAACATAGCCAGGGGAACCACAGCATCATTTCTACCACCATGCCCTTCCTGTGCCAGCAGCCACCACCAGCATTTAAGAAACACAATATTTTATTGACAACTTTACAGTACTTTTTTTCCCCCCCCTCCTACCTCCCCTTTAGTTAAAATTGCTATTATTTATGTACATGGTGGTCCCCTGGCAGAGAACCCAGCTATTTACAGGCTATTTGCAGAGGCAGGGCCAGCAGCTCTTCAGTATCTCCTCCAGCTTGAGCATGTCCATGGGCGTGACTTTGGCAACCTCAAAGAAGACCCTGGAAGGAACCAAGTTGGCTTAGAGCTCAGCCACAGCCCTGACCCCCATCCACCAGGGCCCCCCAGCTCTCTGCAGCACCCAAGGGCACGTGCTGGTGGTGGCAGAGCCCTGTGGTGCTCACCTGTGCGAGTACTTGGTGCGCACGGCTTTCAGCTTGTCGTGGGGCTGGTACGTGAGCAGGAAGTTCAGCCTCTTCACCAGGGCATGCAGGTCCTGGGAGCAGTACCCACTGTAGTACTCCAGCGTGGGGGTCTGCACAGGGACAGCAGGGCTGAGCTGGGTCTTTTTGGTGACAGTACAGCCATCACCCCCCCACACACTCCTCCCTCTACCCTTGCACCCGTTATGCCCCTGGGGGGTACAGCAGGTTGGGCAGGCCCTTACCCAGCCCCCGAGGTTCTTCATGGTGAGTGCAAGCAGCAGGCAGCTGGCAGCCAGCTTGGAGGGACTCTCCCGGGCGTACTCGTACTCCTGCAGGGTCATCTCGCAGAGGAAGCGTGCCAGGGTCAGGGTCTCCATACTGGCTCGGGCGCACTGCGGCCAGGCAGGCAGGGACGGGCTCAGCCCTCGGGGCTGCTCCCCCAGCCTTCCTGGGGCTGGGAGCGCTGCCCCTGGGGCACAGATCCCACACCCCAGGGATGCTCACTGCCCCTCCAGGGAGCCCACACGAGGTGCCCTGATCCCAGCCCCCCCCCACACCCACCTTGGCAAAGCGCCGCAGGAACCGGTAGGGGATGGGGATGTTGATGTCGAACTTGAGGGTGTTGAGGATGCTGATCTCCATAGCAATGAGCTCTTCCCGCTTGTAGGCATCGTCACAGATATAGAGGAAGTCATCCACGCAGGGAGGGCACCGCTCCTGCTGGGGCACAGCTGCTCAGCACCTTCAGGGGCCTCAGCCTGGCAGCACTCAGGAAATCCCACCAGTCTGCCGGTCCTGTAAGGGCTCACGCCCTGCCAGACCCTGGAAGGGCTGTTACCACACCCAGTGGGCTTGAGAGTTGTCTATACTGCCCCAGGCCCTGGCTCCTAACTCCAAGCCATGCTTGCATGAGATGAACTCGGGCATCCTGGGGGGTCTCTGCAGAGCAGAGAGGAGCCAAGTCTCCCATGACACCAGGAGACAGGATCCAGCCCATCAGGACTGCACTCAACAGCCCTTGAGAAAGAAAGGGATGTCATGAGGACAGATGGCTGCTCCAGCAGCTCTCAGGGCAGTGGTCTGGCACTGTGGGGACCTAGTCCTTTACAATAACCCATGGGGACCAGGGAGGCTCAGCCCCCTGAGCCCCAGCACCCCAAGAGAGCACACAAGGAGTCACCTCAAATTTGGAGGCGATGAGGATGGCAGTGGAGCCGATGAGCTGCAGCTTGTCCCTCATGGTCACCACCTCCACCAGGTAGTGGTCCACCAACTTCACAGCAAGGTACAGTGTTTCGTGGTTCAGCTCAAAGTTCTCCTGCAACAATGCGGGCAGGAGAGAGTGTCAGGCAGAAGCTAGACCCACCTTCCCCTCCAAGGTTTCCCTCTTAGTGTTCAGAGGTGCCCAGGGCCAAGGCTCGGAGGGAGGGATGCAGGCTCATCCTCAGCCTGCACAAGCACCGGGGACACTCAAAGGAGCCTCTGCCAGCATGCTGAGGTCTCACTCTGAAGGCAGGGTGGGGACTGCTCTGCAGGTCCCTCCCCATGCCCACGTACCTGCACCTCCACCATCCAGTCCACCAGGATGGCACGCATGTCCCCACTGATGTCTGGCTGCTTCTCCATGTAGTCAGGGAGCATGAATTTCTCCTGCCAAGATACCAGCTGTCAGGGACCCACCAGGCACCACCATCATCCTCACAGGAGCGCCCTCCCGTCCTCCCCACAGGCCCCACCGGGTTCTCAGAGCCCCCAGGCAGCCATGCCCACGTGGCCAGCCTTTCTCCAGTCAGGGCTGCCACCCCTGGCCTGGCATTGCCCACCTCTCTTCCCTGCATGTATTCAAAGATGTCCTTGGCATACTCGGCATTGGCATAGGGGTCACCCAGCTGCTCCTTGTCAATGTCCTCCACTGCTGGAACCTGGTGGGATAAAGGAGGCAGCAGTGAGGGGGGAGGTCCCCAGGCCTTGCAGTTGCTGGTCATCCCTTCAGGGCAGGGCTGCTCCACCTCTGCACCTCCTTCCCCCTCTGCCCCCACCACCCTGCAGCTCCCACACCACCCCTATCTTTTGAAGGAAGGTGGTGGTGTGATTTACTCGTACCACCGAGGTCCAAAGCACTGCCTGGTGCCCCAGCATCACCAGCAGCAGCCACAGACCAGCACCATCAGGAGGAGACTGGGGCCTGGCTGCAGCCCAGGGGCTCTGCCCTCTCCTCAGAGAGCTTCAGTACCTGTGCAGGAACTGACTCCTCTGGCACAGGATCCTGTTTGGGCTTTGCAGGAGCCTCTTTTGGGGAGGTTTTCTTAATTGACCTGGAGAGAACAAGAGCATAAATTATTGCTGGGAGGGGGCCCGATCTCCTGGCTGAAAGGCATTATCCAGAGCCCCTTGCTGCTCCAAGGAAGAGGCTAAGCCACCCCTAAAATCACAGAACCACAGAACAGTTGTCGTTGGAAGGGATCTCTGAGATCCTAAGTCCAACCATCAACACAAGAACACCCAAACAAACACACACTCCACCAAAAAACACTCACAAAAACCCCCACAACCTCAGCCACTAGAGCAGGTCCTGAAGTGCCACATCTACACACTTCTTGAATCACTCCAAGGTTGGTGACTCCACCACTTCCCTGGTGGTGGAGCCTGTTCCAATGCTTGATAATCCTTTTTGGTGAAGATGTTCTTAATACCCAACCTAAAGTTCCCCTAGCACAACTTAAAGCTGTTTTATCTCCTGTATGTCCTCCTCATCTGCCTCCTGGTCCCCATTGCCCAAAGAGACCCTCAACGGGACAGGTTTGCAGGCCTTGCAGCATCCCTCCCCCCGTGCTTGTCTCCACCTCCCCTGGCTACTCACTTTTTCAGGTTGATCTCATTGTTCTTGGCCACCCCCAGGGCAGCATGGGCCCTCTGTGCCTTGTGTGGTGCCACTTTCACAACCTCCTTCTTCTCTGCCACCACCTGGTTCTTGTGAGCCTGTTTGATTGAGAATGTGGGTGTACAGAGGGAAGTGAGGTGTGCTCAGTGGGGAGAGCTCCTGTCGACAGGGCACTGGACACCCCCCACTCTGTGATGGAGGGTATACTCAGCCCCACTCCCACAGGGGGAGCTCACAGGGGACTCCAAACCCCTGATCCCCACAGGAGCACTCACATTGGTGATGTCCCCGAACGCTGACCTCTTCTTGGGACCACCCTGGGGGGAGGATGGAGACCTCTTGGCCTGACAACTCTCCTCCTGCAACAGAGACAGGAGTCAGGGGGCCAGCTGCCCCACAGGAGTCCCCCACACCCTTTGCCTGACTCAGGACTCACCTTCTCAGGGTTGGCATTCTCTGTAGCAGGGCCCACCTTGGCTGCTCGGGGCTGCTTGGTGCTCACCATCTTGGCATTGCGTGGCAACGGCATCCTCTCTTTTGGGTCCACCAGCGAGCTGGGAGCAGAGCAGGGCTTGCTATGGGCCCCCAGGGATGCCCTCGTGGCCCAGGGGCAGAGCCAGGGGCTCTTGCCCCTCCCTCGGGGGCAGCGCGGCAGGGACTGACCCCAGACCCCTCCCAGGCAGATGATGCCCTGAGGCAGCCCCAGGGAGGGTGCGGGGAAAGGCTGGTCTGCTCCTCTCGGGGGAGGGCAGCGTGTGGACCCCCATCAGCCCTACAAAAAGCACCCTGCTGGGAGAGAGGGGAGGCGGCTCCCGGCTCCTGCACCCGGAGAAGGATGCAGGGGCTCCTGCTCTTCTCCCAGCCCCGCTGGGGAGCTCAGGGGCTACCCGGGTGGAGAAAGAGCCCCCAGGACAGGGGCCTGCCCTCCCTCAGGACGCTGGGAACGGGCCCATCGGGAGGACAGTACAAGCCCATAGCGGGGAGACACGCGGAGCGTATGGGGGGTGATCAACACCCTTGGGGAAGGGAAGGTGTGAGTCTCCGGGGAACCCCCACGCAACAACAAAGTCCCGGCCGCGCCGCCCGGGGACCCGAGCCC